TGGACAATTTCTTTGTGACGGTAATTTTGCAAATATACTGCTAAGATGATTTGCCATATCGTTATTCTTTTGCCGAAATAGTATTTGGAAAGTAATTTTGCAAAAAACTACAAATATTTCAGAAAAGATCAATGTTATTGCATCTATTTCTTAAAATATGTCTGTATAATTGCAAATTACAATTTTAGTGCAAGATTTCGTCACATAATTTTGTAAATGGTTTTCTATCAGGAAATAGTCTTAATTAGAGAAACTAAAAAAACTCTTGCAAAGATATGAATTGTTTTTTTATATACAAGGAAACACATGTTTAGTTTTTACAAACCTTAACAAACTTAGGAGCATTTAAAAAATTTTAGATACAATGGAAATAATAAAAAGAATACCTTTAAATGTTATATAAAGTTTTATATAACTTATAAATAATAAAAACAATAACTTTAAAAGCTATAAAGTTTTTTTTCTATTCTTTTAGTAGACGTAAAAACTATTTTAAAGTCACCTTTTAGAATCTTCGGTTTTTTTTAAGATTATTTCTTAAAATCACTCTTGAATTACTTTTTAACTTTTTAGATCACTTTACATCACTCTTTTTACACTTTAAATTACTTCAAAATTTATTAAGTAAACTCTTACACTTTAAATAATACGTTTAAAAAATTTAACTGTATTTAAAGTAATTTTTTTCAAGAGTAGTTTGTCGTTAGTTTTTTATTTCTCTAGTCTTCATTTGTACTTATTACATATCAAACAATATTAAAAACAATGACATATGTTTTAAATTGTTCGCGACAAAAAACCCATTTTTTTAAGTTNCGCGTTCATTAAACAGCAAAAATACTTAATTTAATATTTGTACAATTTAATAATTCGTTTTGTAAATTAAACTAACGAGTATGATTTTATATTATATTCTTTGTAACAATTTCGGTTTTTGTAACATAATAAAAGTAATTCTTAAGGTGTGACGAGAATATATACAAAAGCGAAAAAGTTTGGTTAGTGTTATATATAGTTATAAAAAGATCTCCAAACTGTGTGATATTACAAATATTTTACCTACATACGTCAAAAATCTAGTACAAGTATCACAGCACATGTATGCCTTATTCCGTCTATTTTTTCGTTNATCGTAAAAATATAAATTCACACAGCACACTTTATCTTGCGGATATCCCAAAATGATCGGGATTTTCAAGTGCAATNTCAGAGATATCCCAATAAGTAATTTTCCGGATATTACAATAAGATATCGTGAGATATTTTATGTAAAGCCAAGTGATAAAGCAGGATATCTTGTGAACATTATAAAATTTATTCTAATTATTCCAAATATATCTTATGGATATCTACTAGATATTTTAAACTGTCCAAATAATATTCGGTGGATATCTTTTCCACATCTGTGGATATCTCTCGGACATATGTACACACAACATATTTTATCTTGAGAATATCGTAAACTATTTCAAAGT